TAACATAATTGTTAAAGCACTAACACAGGTGCAAACATGCCAAGAAAAGGAAGTGCAAGTCTTCACACACATTTTCCATCCCAGTCAGAAGTGGCAGATAGAATGGATTTAAAAGCCCTATGCGTTCCAGTTTAAAATACAAAAGGAAGCCTCTGCAACCACAATGTTGGGGATGCAGTCACATGTAAATGTTGATTATTCTTTTTAAAATGTTAAAGTGTGACAAAATGCCTCTTATTGTCAGTCTTTTCATTGTCTATGGTGGCACTGAATAAAGATGAGCATAGTTGTTTTGGTTTGTTTGAAAACTATTGAAAAATGCAAATAACCATTGAGCTTAGAATAAACAGTTGAATGTGGCATTTGCTTTCCTTTTAAATAGCTTGAAATGAGAGGAAGAACAGCATGACATTAAAAGCACAATCTATCTTACTGCGTGGTTCTTTTCCAGTGACTTTCTAAAAGCATTGCTCTTCATTCATTCCAGAAGATAACAAGAAGCTGCGTTTGGCTGGTTTGATCAGTGAAATGAGAGGCGAGAAAGAATATTTGCATTTAAAATTGCTCTTTAATCTGGCTGCCCTAGACCTAGGAGCTGTACCAGTTTCTCAGCATCTTGACAGACCGGCCTATTTCTTGCAAACAAATTACATATTTCTTTGTAAATACAAGAAGCTCCTCTAAGCATTCATACTAAGGTGAGTGGCTTTCTGTGCAAAAGTCCCCTCTCTTATCCAGGGGTAAAAAGTCTCCTTTCTTATCCAGAGGTAAAAATGCAAGTACAAGTAAAATATAAAAGCAATGTGTATTTTAGTCCCAAGTTTATTCTGTTTTGGTAATTCTTTGTGTCTGGGGTAAGTGAACAAGTGCTAAGTCACTTCTAGGCTTGCGTTAGGCCTCCTAGCAAGGGTCATCATAGCTCTTAAAAAATGTAAAGAAAAATATCACTGCACTCGTTATTACCTTCTGATTCAGAAGGCAGAAATACAGCTTCAGAGTCAAATGGCTTCCAAAACAAGGTCTGAAAGCAATGGTATTTTTATCTTATATTTGGGCTAAGCACCCTTCAAATATTTAGCTTTAATCTTGAGTGAAGAAGTCTGGATGCTGAGATTAAAATATATTGTGCTGAACATTGGCTTTATCACCTCAGTAGGATGTTCCTTCCAGCAGAAGATCTACTCAAGCACCTCTCACTCTTACTTCTGTATAAATCATGAACCTCAGTCAGTCACATCTATTGTCTTTTTGCTGTTTCATAAGTTGCCAAAAAGACCTTAGCCTTTAAAATTGCTTATTCTTGTTGATAAAAGACTCCAGAAGTCTCCCCTCAATAAGTAAAGATGATACCAGTGCTAATTTTCCTTACTATATTTTGAGTAGATGATAAAAGTAGATGTCCAATCAAACAAATCTTAACCTTTGTGATGAAAAAATGACACAAAATCATTCTTCCTATGGGCCCTGTCAATGAAGCTGATAATGAAGGACTGAAACAATATTTGAACTTCTTTTCATTTACCATTTCCTATCTTGGTGCACTGATACAGAAACTCTGTAAAATTTGTAGATGGGATATCAGCTGTCTAACAGACAAGACTAATACCTTAGACCTAACTGCGTAAGATGTAAGTTTAAAAGAGGCAATTAAAACGCAATTCCAGTACTGTCCTCTCTACTCAAAACATCTCTGCCCAAGACAATGTAGAGTGTGAACCTAATTTACAAAATTTGTTTGATAAATCCCAAACAGCCAGAACCTAATTTACAAAACGGGTTAGATAAATCCCAGACAGCTGTCTTATCACTAGTTCTACCCAAGGAGCCTGCTGGCACTGCCGCCATCCCTACCATCCTCTTCAAGCTCTTCAGCATCCTTTGAGTAACAACACAGCTCTGTGGTAAATCAGTACTCCTGGAAAGTTCAAGACCGAGCCACTGTTGCCAACTGGTTGTGGCATGTATTGCTATACAGGGAAAGAAGAATTGAGCAATAATTTAAATTAATTTGTGTACTGCATTTTTGGAAGGAGTAGGAGTATAAGCCATAATGCATTTAATAGGGAACCATAATGTGTGTTTTTCAGTAAAAAAACCCAACCAGAACCGGTGGTCCAGAAAGCTGCTTTTTAATAAAGTTTTGAATCTCTTCCAGCAGCTAGGGACATCTTCAGTATGGCAGTGCTTGTGGATTACAGGTGTAAAATTATATCTCACATAGACCAGTTCAAGCTTCTGCTCTGAACTGCACCCTTGTGGACCTCTCCTTCAGCAGAAGAGAAGCATGTACAGCTTGGTCACATTGAACAAAGGTTGGTCACACTGAACAAATGTTTGAACACTGAACAAATGTTGGTCACACTGAACAAATGAACACTTTGAACTCACTGGGTTACAAACCCAGGACAATCCCTCTGATCTCAGAAGCTGCACAGCAGCTGTTAGTTAAACTCCATCCAGATTGACACACAATGAGCTGTTTTTAAAAAGAGGCAAGTTCGCATAGTAACTATTTCTTTCCTTTTGCATGTATTTTCTAATGTCTGTACCTCCTCTTCCTGTGGGTAGTCTTCTGAAGTTCCTCTGAGATATTATCTATGCTGCACCCAATAAAAGCTACATATCTGTTTCAAAAGCAAGTATAGAAACAGGCATAAGGTGTGTCACTCCCCCTTCCCTCTCTAGCCTTCTACTTTTCTGAAAGTTGGTCCAAATTATTTTCCCTTTGGTTGGGCTTAACATTCAAATGTTGGATGTGAATATATTCACCACAACGACAAGACCTCACTGTTCTTGAGAAACCTTTAGACATTTTCTTTTACGGACATTCACAAAGGCCATCAGGAAATCTCAAAATATTTAGATATTGGATAATTACAAAGGAACGATCCAAACTTTTAAATGCTTATACAAACAGATTTGAATTGTTAGATGTTTCAAGGTCAAACAGTCAATACAATCTCTGATTAGTAGTGCTGAGCAAATATCTAAAGATTTTTTTTTCAGGAAGTGGTGTTTAAACATTTAAAAAAAAATCTGCTGCAGCCATTCTATTTCTTGAGTTCACTTTCAGCTCAGCATTCACATGACTACATTCTATTAGAACAAAGAAAAATCAAAAATATGGATACTCACAATCAATGACATTGCATTCATGTGCACAATTAATCAAAGCAATGGTGCTTGCATATAGGAGCAAAAATTGGAGTGAAATACTGTAGTCAAAAATGAAAAACATAAACACATAAAGAAATTGTAATATGCTTGTGGGTTCCCTACAAGCAGAAAATGAGACAAAGTAAATTGGATAAATTATTCATTATAAATTAGTTTTTCATCTGTAGGATTCAGTGTGAAAGAACAACAATTACACATGACATTTGTTGCTGGTCAACAAATAGATCCACTTGCTTTTTGCATCCAGACATATGTGATGTAGTGGTTTATTTGGAAAGAAAAGCTGTTGATGATGTCCCACAAGATTAAAAATATTTTCTCCTAAAATATAATTTACAAATTCATATATGACAGTGAACTTTTCCTTCTACCTGCACACCAATAGAGTTTTAATTATTATCTCAGTCCGTAAGGTACCAAGATGATCTAGATTGTACTTACAAATCTTTGCAAAATGGCAAAAGATTTTCATTGCAAACTGGTAGATGAAAGCAAGTCGGGGAAGCCCATATATTCCCAGCTGTGGAATATAGATGTTGAAAGGACATAGGAGATGGGAGGATCTCCAAAACACCTAAATTTGTCCTATAAGGCAATATGTTTCTTCCTACTACCTAAGTAGACAAAATAGAAACACAAACACATTTGTTTCTTTTTGTTGGAATTATCTATTGCAAACTAAAATTACTCCCTTAATTATGTGTATATTTTGTGCTCCTGGGAGTGTTAGCATTTCAAAACAATGTGGAACTGGCTGAATGCTTTTCTAACATTGATAATCCAGCTGCCTCAACTTCTCCTCCTGCTTTCTATATATTTACCACCCAGAAAAAGCATAAGAACTGTGAGAGTGACTTTCTTTCCCTCCATTTTTTACAGCTGTTTTTCAGTTGTGACTCTTGGCATTAACAGAATGTGTGTCCCTGATTTGAAGTGGCCATGATCTAATCTCTATGCTAGAAATACAGACGGTTGAGTAAAGCTTTACCAACAAAATTAATTTCTATTTCAATTGCCTTTCTTCTGTTCTAGAAAGCCCATTAATTGAATAAAACTGCATCTTCTGAATTATACTCTGTCTTCTCAATGGTTCTCCTAGTGACAGGACTATGGAGTGGATGGGATGTTCATCTTACCCTTGGATTTGCCACAGCTGGAAAAAGTCAGACATCATATTCAATGGTATTTTCTCCTCTACTTGGAGATCTGTTGTTATGGTGATAGTTCCAGGAGGGAACATTAATGAGGATGACTTGAAAGCTTTGATGTTTACAACACAATTATTTTTTACACCTCATAAGAAAAGGTGACAGTTAGTACTGCTCCTTGCTAAATATGCGTCATTGTATCAGCTTTCATGAAAATTACCTGAATTTCTATTTGTTATGTATCTGTAATACAATGTTGAATAGAAATATACACATACACATTTATATGCAATAAAAAGGATTCGGAAGAACAAAAAACCCCACTTATTTTCTCATAAAGGATATAATCTGTTATCCCTAAAAACTTGCCTACAGTAACGAGTGACTTTTAGTTATAATATAGTCTTCAGAATATCTGTATTGGTCTTCTATGACACCCCGAGAGCTAACCAGCATGCCCTTCTCATATCCAAAACTAAGCTGTGAACAATTCTACGAACCCACATCACCCAAAACACAGGTCTACAGACACGCTGCATCACCCAGACAGTAATTCACCACCAATGAGCAGTAGAGACAGAGGAATTATCGGCTCGGAGTCTTCCAACACAGAGGTACTTGATGTTGGCCACAGAGTTTGGCTCACATATGATATGAATTCATGTGGTTACTTACATATTCTTCATAGGCCTCGTGTGCAGGTGGTGGGGGTGGTCTGTAGCCCGGGACAGCTGGGGCGCCCCTTGCTCGAGGGGTGGGCACACCCCTCGCCACTGGTGGGACGGGGAGGGCTCCACGGGTGACCGGCGCTCCTCGAGGTGCTTGGGCACCTCGTCCTGGCGGGGGTGGAGGAATCGCACCCCCACGTCCCCTGGGGAAAGCAAAAAGGAGTCATCACTTTGGCGCGTATGGCAAGGGAGGACATTAAAGTGCTGCACCATTTTAAAGGCTCTTACATTTTTACTGATATTTGAAGTATCGTATAACTCTGGCGTTTTGGCAGCTACAATGTCAAGCACTTTTCGGCAATATCTCAGGCAGAACTCATATTATGGAAAGGTATTATTTTTAAGCCATCCAGTGCCTTTTACACCTGATCCTCCTGTTGCTTGTAATAATGAAATTCTGGATCATTGTAATTCACAGAGTTGCAGTTAGTCCAAAGTAGTTCTAGAGGAAGGAGAAAGTGAGAAACTTTTTCTGTTGCTCTCAAACTACTTTAGAAGAACAGTCATCACTCATTCTTGTGTCTGTTTGTGGGTGGGAGAAACTGATTGGCAGAAGATGATGCAGGATGGCAGAAACTTGCAAGGCAAAGCAAACCAAGAGTATAAAAGGAGACTAAGAACTCTTCTTCCTGTCTCATTTAGTTCAGCACACAGGAAGGGTAGCATGGGATTCTGCTTTCTCCCACTGTGCAGAGAGAACAACACATACAGACATGCAGAGAGGTTTAGCATCCTCTGGTTTGTTTACGCTATATCCACCTTGCTGTACGAAGTGGTAAGTCAGAAGAAGCTGTTACTGGTTAAAAAGAGGTTCTTGTAACTATACCACATGACAAATTGGAAAGGGGATATATCAGTGAAGCAATCTATGAGTTTTGTTTCAGAGCAGTATGCTCCCGAGTGTGCTGCCCTTTCTGAAGACTGAATGCTGGGTATAACCACGTGAGACACACAGATTCAGAGCTGTGAATGGAACTCAGGTCTCCCACAGCAGTATGAACTGTGGCTCATTCCCTGCTGAGAAAACCAAACCCATAGTGCTAGCTTGTGGTGTTCATCATTTTACTACCAGTTTCAGTAGCCAATTTTAGAATCACAGAATCACAGACTGGTTTGGGTGGGAATGGACCTCTAAAAGTCATCTAGTCCAACCCCCCTGGAATGAGCAGGGACATCTTCAACTAGATCAAGCTACTCAAAGCCCTGTCCAACCTGACCTTTAACAATTCCAATGACTGGGCATCCACAACTTCTTTGGGAAACCTGTTCCAGTGTCTCATCACCCTTATCAAAAAGATTTCTTCCCTATGTCCAAACTAAACCTACCCTCTGTCAGTTTAAAACTGTTGTCCTTTGTCTTGTCACTACAGGCCCTGGTAAAAAGGCTCTCTCCATCTTTCTTATAAGCCTCCTTTGTAACTGGAAAGGCTGCAATAAGGTCTCCCCGGAGCCTTCTCTTCTCCAGACTGAACAACCCCAACTCTCTCAGCCTATCTTCATAGGAGAGGTGCTCCAGCCCTATGATCGTTTTCATAGCCCTTCTCTCGACCAGCTCTAACAGGTCCATGTCTTTCCTGTGCTGAGGGGTCCAGAGCTGGACACAATACTCCAGGTGGGGTCTTGTGAGAGCCAAGCAGAGGGGCAGAATCACCTCATCAGCCTGCTGGTCACGCTTCTTGTTATGCAGCCCAGGATACGGTTGGCCTTCTAGGCTGCAAGCGCACATTGCCAGCTCATGTCCAGCTTTTCATCTACCAATATCCCCAAGTCCTTCTCTGATGGGCTGCTCTCAATCCCTTCATCCCCCCATCTGTGCTGACACTGGTGATTATCCACGAATAGGAACCTGCACTTGGCCTTGTTGAACTTCATGAGGTTCATACAGACCCACTTCTCAAGCCTGTCAAGGTTCTTCTGAATGGCATCCTGTCCCTCAAACGTATCAGCTACACCACCGTAAATATAATTATGTTATTGCCATAAATTATTAGCATAAATATTTAGCTTAAAATACTTCAGTTGCAATTCTTTTTTAAAACATTCTCCTGAGATTTCTGCCTGGTAAATAGGGAAACCATCCAAGACCCTGTATCTGTCCAACTGATCCAATCATTTGGGTATTTTGAAGCAAGTGGGGGCCAGCGCTCCACTGATTATGCTTTGAACCTAATTTAAAAGCTGCCAGTCTGTTGCAGTGATGTTCTGAACACCATTATTAAGTCAAGCCCTTCAGAGTTCTTAGGTGTAAGGAAGACTGATTTCTGAGTCCAAAAAGACTTTGAGTGGAAGATGGTTATGAATGACAAGTGTAAAAAATCCTATGTATGTGCATCATACTATGGATAAGAAAATTCCATTCAAGAAGAACTGAGGGAAACTATGATAGACACCTTCAGGAAAAAAAAAAAAAGGTCATGGCTAAGATCAGCCAGTTCAATTACCAAAGAACAACTTCTCTGTCAGCATAAAATAAGGCACCTCCATATCCTGTTTCCTCCAAAATAAAACTGGATTTCTTAGGACCCATCCTGAAATGATCTCTATGGACACCTAGAAGTAGCTAGGTAACTTAGATGCCTGAGACAACAAATTTCTTAAGGGTTCACAGTGAAAAATGAGTCTGGCAGAGTACATTAAGATTATACATTGGCCTTACGAACAAGCAGAGCTATCTGTTACCTATACATGAAAAAATACTTGGAACAATTCAGGAAACGTTCATATGCCAATGTTTTTAGATGATGCCTATGAAATTCACATAAAAATGATAACTCATACAAAAATAATATATAATTCAATATATATATATATGTCATGGTTTATACATATATATATAATATGCATACAAAGAAAGGTAATTACTTGGCAAATTGATTTCCATCCAGAGTATGCAGCCTCTTCTGACTATACTACTTTATTGACCAAAGGTTTTTTGCTACTGACTGTACCGACCATATTCTTTCCTAGAAATATCCTTTCACTGCCCTCATAATATGCTCTCATCTGTTTGGTACTTGCATACTTGCTACTTGCACTGTAGCCTGTGCACCGTAGATCAGAGAGCCTGGCACACCACAGACCACACAAGTTATCAGAAGAAAAATGTTTTGGTTTACTGACCATGACATGTATGTGATTTTCTTTATTTTTATTTAAACCATGTTTGTTTTACCATTGTTTTCACTTTCTAAAGCTATTAGCATCACAGCACAGGTTACCACACCTTGAAGGAGCTGCAGGTGGCACACGGATCCCTCTTCCTCGAATGCCCCGTCCACGTGCTGAATCCTCAGAACCGTTCAAATACGACAGTTCTCTCAGCTGCTCCTGGCGAATTTCATCATTATAATCCTGAAATGCAAAAGGTGAAACTTGCTGAAACTTTGTATTTTGGCTGAGCTGCCAAACCATCCAAACCAGAAATTCCATGGATGGTATTTGGGTGAATTGCTCTGCATTATCACCTGCATGCTGAAAAAACATATAGTGGGAGTGAACAACTACCTATAATATGTGGACAGACAAACTTATATGGGTAGTTAAGATGGTCATAGAGAACATGTACACACAAAATAAAACACACAAGGTCCAGAAGGCACAAACACAAAGCAGACATCAAGAACATAGCTGTATACAAGATGCAAATGAACTTTCACATACCAAAGGTACCAATCTCAAACAACTTGAAATTATATTAAGAAATGCATTTTATAAATATTTTTAATTTTTTTGGCAGACATCCCTCACTATCTTTATGCACTTAAAACACAAATTCCACCTTACATTGCACCTCAGCATGCAAAATTTACACTAGAGTCATTTGACTGGATGATTTAATCCAATACCAATTAGCATCATTGAATGTAGCTTTCAGTTTTTCTGTACATCTACTAAACAGCTTTTGAAAGGAGCTCCCTTTTTAGAACTCATAAGTAACAAAGCTATGTTTACTGTATAAAATTGTTAAATGATATAAAATAGGCCCATTGCAAGACTGCAGGGTATCGACTCTAGCACTGCAAGCTTCTGCTGGCTCAGTAAACATCAGATGAATCTAATTTTCTTACTGATACAAAACACATAATATTGGGCAATTTTTACTTATTTTGAAACCTTTGTCTCAGTTAGAAATTCCTTTTTCCTTAGATTCCTTCCTTTTACATTCAGCTCTTTGCCTGCTGATCACAGTAATAAGAGCCCACCGCAGTAGCTGGCTCACTGGCGGCTGAACAGTGCGACAGCTAATTACTGTTTCAAAACAGAAAGGATTATTGAATTTCAACCCTTCAGTCTTTCCATCCTCCCACAGGCAACTGCCACTGACTGTCACGCAGGGGTCCAAAAATGCTACAGTGCCTGCTGCTTCTCGGGTGGGTGACTGTCTGGGACACATTACAAGTGACACCGCTTTTTAGCCAACTTAAAGACCAAGCGAACGGTGAGGTGGAACTGGGGCCTTGCTCGTCCCTTCTCCTTCCTGAAGACATCTGGGAAAACTGTTTAAAGACATAATGCTGATCCTGTTGTGTTCTGAGAGAGTGGAAGCCTGGTCACAATTTCCCTTCTAAATTTCTAGGGAGTGCAGTTGGAGTAAAATCTATTAATGAAATTCAGAAAGGAGCACCATTTATACAATATAGTGCATGGTATTTTCAACAGAATCATAATTAAACCCAAATCCATAATTTGCTAATAAACCAGATAATGGCTTTCAGTTCCCTCCAATCCCCAAATCTTTTTGCACATTTTTCTATCATTCTAACATGAATGGCAATAAGCCAAAGACACCTTCCTAAATCAATGTGCTCTGTAAAACACAGAGGGAAAAACACGATTGAATCAACGAGGTCACATTTACAACAATTGCTGAATGGGTACCATCTACTGTGCCTTGCTTAATATCATCTGGTATTCACACTGGCTTTACAAGGATTAGGACTTGAAACTTGCTGATTGAGTTTACCCTTCAGAGTCCACACCAGTGCTGGGATTGAACTTCGTTAATAATGCAAGCAAATTTTGTAAGAGAAAGATGGCGGGGGGGGGGGGGGGGGGGGGAAGAAAAGAAAAAGAGAAAAGACCTGCAAGGGACAGAAATTTTAACTTTCTGTGTTGCTGCTTTAATCTCTCTCCTTTGGAACATTGCCGTATAAATGAATTCTACTAGAAATTGCCTCAAAGCTGCTACTCCTTCCTTAGATACACGTATTATTTAAAATCTTAGTATTGATAATACACAAAATAGAAGTTAAATTTATAATATCCAGCAAGATCTGCAAATCTGCACCATTCTGTTATGCAATGCCCTTAGTTTTTCTACAGGTTATTTACTGCGAGTCCAGTTAAGAAATACGTACAATATATTTTCAAATAGCAAGGTAAAGACAATAAAGTACACAGAAGACTGTAATTAAGATGCTAGGATGGATATCCTGAAAGAGAAATATTTCAATAAAAAAATTATAACTTTATATAGACCATTTATCTTATGTGCCCTTTAAAAGGCATGAGAAACTTCATAATTTTTAAATCTGAAAATTTCAACAGAAATGCTCACTTCAACTCTTTCATTAAACAGAAACATAACACTGAATTAATCTTTCATAACTGCTACATAAGTCTAGCTAGAGACAGAGTATCCTGCTGTATATTTAATTGCAGCATCAGAGCCTAGCACATGAGCAAAATTATGCTGCTGATGTTTCATATATATCTAGTCCCAAGAGGGAGTACAAGATGTTGCAAGACATACCTGTACTGAAGAAAGCATAATGAAGTACCCACACACTGCAGTAGTATATTGTGCTTCAGAAAAAAAAAACAACCAACTGCTCCCTGTATTAAAATAAGCTCATGAGAAATGTTCTGTACTTAGCTTTTCTTACAGGTCTCTAATAGTCTTATAGCTATTCTTACAGCTGATAATATACAGTAACCTATATGTTTTGCTCTTGTTTATATCCTTAAAGACACTGTTACCTGTAAACAGCTTTTCCATTTACTGATGATACCAAGGGTGCCATCTACTTGTATCATGGTGGTCAATGTTTGCAAACAACCACTATAGGTGAGCTAACCACCCACGTGCACAACTATTCACCCAAACACGCATCTTGACTTTAGAAATACTAAGGATTTACAACCTTGGCAAAGTCAGTAGCACCCAGGGCTACCATAAATCATAATGTTTATGTAAGTGCCTAAAAACCTAATTACATATTTAGATAAAACATTCAGTATTCTAGAGTACATGAACACGTTTACCCCAAATTACCAAAATTATGTTTATTAATGAAGGTTGGGAATGATTAATTAGGTCTGCTCTAGGAACAAAGGAAACCCATTAGCATCAGAGTCCGACTGGTGGCAGCTCACCCAGGGGCCCTTCTGGCAGCAGCGCAGAGAGGTGCGGCAAAGAGGGGAAAGCACGTAAGCTGCTAGAGAACTCAATAAACCATTTTGGTAAAAAATAGCAAAGTATGACGCAAGCTGCAAAACCTGATCTGAATTAACAAGAACACGTAGTGACAAGGGAGGAGAGTTAATAAAGAAATCAAAGGGTAAGGCACAGACAGAGGAAACGGATTTTGGGAATATATATCTATCATTAGCATAACAAAGGTTCCTAGAAGTCAAGGATAAATCAATCCCTTAAGGACTGTGATCTCCTGTCCTGATGTGCTTTGCACGTTTAAGTTCCTTCCATGTGTATGAACGATTTGCACTATTAATAAATATCATTACTCTTATCTGTGACAGATGAATTTCATTCTAACTCCATAGTTAAGGGGACAGGAATTTCAGTTAATCGCAAACTACCTTAAGAATGCAGAGTTATGGAAATCAAACTTAAAATGATAATCACAATTCTTCACATGGACAATTTTGAAATATTAATAGGGCTCACTTGGTCGCTTATACAGATGACATTTTATAGCATACATACATTCCTTACATAGTTAAACTAGCCATGTATTATGTGAAGAGCAGACTATCCTCCACATAGTGTTACTACTATTAGGACAGATTTGCAGGTGTCTTAATTCTTTGGACAAACAACTACATATTAACACCTTGCATTTAAGCCATTTAAGCCTTGATTTTAACTCAGTGGAAAAGTAGTCACACACACACAAAAAAAATCTTTTTCTTGTGGTTATTTTCTCTACAATTCTTAAAGTGTTCTCCAAAGGTCCCAAGGCATCAACAACTCAGATTTACAGCTGGCACATGCAGAGGTCCTACGGTCCTGGAATTCTCAGTCTGCTCTGCCTGACTACGAAATATTTTCTCTCAGGCCAGTAATATTCCCTGAAGCTGTCTGTTGCCAACAGAGCACACCACATTCACAGACATAGGTACGTCTCATCCCTTGATCCTTTCTTCCCGTGCTCAGGTAGCGGAAAGGAAACAGGAGATGGATTTGAACTCCTGTGGCACTTCTGCATCCTGCCCAGCTCTGAGCATCGGTAAAAGAGCTCCAGGGCTCCATGTATTTGCACAGATTCCCTGAAGCTAGGGTATCTCCCCTAAATCTTGATGTTGCTGCCTTGGGGCTATTTCCAGGCAGCTTAAATTTCAATTAGCCTAAAATGTCCATTGAGTACATGCTTCAGAAAACCCATAGCCAGCCAAAAGGACAGAGAAGACCTATTGAATTTTAGGTAGAGCTACATGATTTGAATATGACCCTTTTTTTGTTTTGTTTTGTTTTGTTTTTAGATGCACACTCATTGTGGACACTAAAAGAGACACTGTCCACATGCTCCCTTGTGCATATGGGGAAGCACTAAGCCTGTGAAAATAACTGGTGGTGGTGAGTTCCTGGAGTCGCTGCTGCTTTGTGCTTTCTGGCCTCACGACAGTGACCTGTGCTATGATTCAGCTTCAAAGTACGGTGAGAACCACCTGGACTCATGGGGTCAGCATGAGCAGTTCATTATACTGAAGAGGCAAAGAACCCAGGAATCCTCACTTTCTAGCTGAGTGCTTTAATATCAGACTGTTACAAAAAAGAAGAAAAGCACTGGCTGCTCAGTACCGGAAGAGCTTGGTGAACTAAATCCTGAGTCAATAGAGATATTCGGCATGTCCTGCTATTTCTTTATATTCTAAGATCCTGTTCTAAGACTGTAACGCATTCAGAATTTAAACATATCAGACTTTTCCCTGCACGTATCCAAAGCCTCTCTTTATCACTGTCTACTTAGGAAACTAGACAATTGTGCCAGGTAGGTTCGATAGCCCTCTCCATAACCTAAAATTTGGGTGAGACAGTGCCTTAGCTGGGCATGCAAATTAGGTGGATGCAACTGCATCCTCAAACTTCATTCTTTGTCTTCCTAATAGAAATTCAAAGTTCATTGCGAAACACGAGATTAATGTGTAGCTGAGACCATGCCCAACCAAGCAATTCGTACAAGTTCATC